CATACTCCCAAATCAAATCAAAACATCATTGTGTGCCATCATCAAAAAGGGGGAAATTGTTAGACTTATTTATTTTGATAATTTATTTAATTATGTTTTTAATTTATTTGAAAGAGAAAAATAGAATCAAAATTTATTTTGATGATTTATTTGAAAGAGAAAAATAAAATCAACATTTATTTTGATGATTTTATGTTTTAATTTATTTGAAAGAGAAAAATAGAATCAAAATTTATTTTGTCCCATTATTTCTTACCTAAAACTTTTATCCTAAATGTTGTTCGAATGTATTTAATATTTGATTAAATCAGAGGTTCAAACAGCCTAAAACAAAGGTTCAAACAGCTCAGCATAGCAGCAGGCCAAAAGGTTCAAGTGAAAGATATTTAAATTAGTAATGATGGAATGGAAGATATTCAAATTAGTAATGATGGAGTGGAAGATATTCAAATGAATACAACGGCTATAAGTTTCATTATATATACCAAAACTTCTAATGTAAACAAGTTACAAAAAAAAAAAAACAGAAAATATTCTTTGATCTATAATCACTCACATCTATTCTCTAAAAAATTCTCTGAGAAGTATTTTTCAATTTTTGTTTACATCCTCTTTCAGAAATTATACACTAAGACGTATAGCTTTAAGCCCATCTTTCCTATGTGAGGTTTACAGAAAAACCAGAGCTTCATTTTTATATATATCTTTGAGAGATTATTCTTGTAGCTTTCTGTGAAAACAAAAACACCTTCTTTTCAACCTTGTAAGAGTGTAGTACACTTAGTGTTCTTGACTTAGAAAGTCTGTACAAAATCTGTGGAAGATTGCTCCATCTGTGAAAAGGTTGCTAGCACCCTGTGAAGCTAGAGAATAGTGAAAAATCTCAAGTGAAGCTTGAGGAGTTGAAGTAAGCCGAGTTGAAACCGAACCACTATAAATTTGTTTGTCTCTCTCTCCTTTATCTCTTTATTTTATTTAAATTGCTATAACTATATTTCATATTTTTATTATGCTAATGTCATGACCCGAACCCGCCCCCGTGGGTTAAGGACATAACCGGCCAGTAATCATGAGATTACCTACGGCCTTAAACCAAACCAAATGTATTTTAACAGAGTTAACAGGGGCCAAACGGAAGCAATTTAAAACTTTGTCCATAGAACTGTGTTTACATGGCACATCATAACAAACCACACATATGTACATTAATAACTCACGACAGAAGTACAGTACCATAATGTTCTGTACAGACAGGATCATCCAAAACTAAGTTAACCCATGAAAACTATATACAGACATGTTCAAAGACTTCACTAACATGACAACATCAAACAAAATGACAAAAAGGCAAAGACGAGTCTCGTGCATGAGACGCAAGAGCTGACTCTTCAAAACCTTTGTTGTTCCACACATACTTCACCGGGGCTGGGTTTGGACTTCTCTTGGCTCACCTACAAACACATGAATGAGCGTGAACGATAGCCTAGTGAATAATATCAAATAAAGGAGTTATACAAACGGTACGTAGAACAACATGCTTCAAATGGCCTTGGGCCCAATTCATATTTCTATTTAACATATATATATATATATAATTTAAGTCAAGTGACTGTGGTTCCAAACATACTGGCCTTTGAACCATTTATCTTTCATTCCTGTCAAAACGGCCTCTGGCCCACTCATTTATGTTAAAACGGCCTCTGGCCCATCCATTCATGTCAAAACGGCCTTCGGCCCATTATTCATATCAAACATTTGTCCGTAATTCAAACTAGAAACTTATAAGGCTTACAAGGAAATAAGCAATTGGACAAATGACAACTTCAAGATATCGATATTACTCACAGTGATCGGTTGGTTGGTTTGCCCTGGAGCTCGACCCTACACATTCCATGAACACAAAGGGTCACAAACAATTCGATCCGTTCTAAATTCACATATTCCTCTTTAGGCTTCATTCTTATCTCTTTAACTCAATTACAATGCTCAATGCATGCCTAAGAGTACTTAGAAGTGAAAGAGAATAGAAAACGATACACAGGATGTCTTTTCAAAATTTCAGAAAGCAGGGTCCCCGCTCGAGCGTGGACTTCTCCGCTCGAACGGACCCACGAGGCCTGCAAAAGTACTGGATATGTCAAATTTACGCTCGATCGAGAAATCTGGCGCTTGAGCGGAAGGCCTCTCTACATGGTTCCCCGCTCGAGCGTGAACTTCCTCGCTCGAGCGGGCACCATGTCTGCAGAAAATATTTGGAACACGAATTTCACGCTCGAGCGGCTGTTTTCCCGCTTGAGCGGATATCAAAATTCTGGAAAATCCAGAACATGTTCTTGAGCTTCAACTCGAAATTCTAAGGCTCTAAATGTATGCTTTCAGCTCAAACTTCACATATACATGTACTAATCATTGTACAAACACCAAATTACAACATTATGAAGCTCAATTTCACAATTTAGTCACATGCATGTCCCAATTCACATCAAATTCATTTCCAACATAACAAACTCATACATTCAGACTCATATTCTTATAAATTGTACATGTATGTGAGATATGACTCTCATTACCAACTCAAATGGTGCAAATGGTGATCACAAGCATGAACTCTAACCGAAATCTTACATGGATCATGCCTTTCATGCTTAATTATACAAATTCAAAGCAATTACACACATGCATGCATACATTGACCTTCAATTCAACAAAACCAACCCAATTTCACCATAATCAATTTAGTCCATGTTCTTGACCATTATTCAAACTTGAATTCACAAGATGATAACTTACAATTCATGAATTCACTTACCTAGAGGCTTCAAACCCCCAAACTCTAGCCAATTCTTGAGTTAAATCTTCAAATTCCAAGCCTTGAGCCAAGATTACACAATTCTCTCCTTTTCTCTCTCTATAGTTGGCCCTCTCTCTCTCAAGGCACAAAATTAGATTTTTGAGCTCAAGTGTACCAATTAAGTGTATAGTGCCTCTTTACATAAGTTCTCACTAGCACCAACTTAATAATAATAAATAATTGGGCACTAATTGAATAAATTAATCCAATTAATCTGATCCAAATCAATTTTCAATTAAATTTCACCGTAGGCTCTAAAAATCACGCTAATCACAATGGCGCAATCAATTTCGGGTTCTGTGGCCGATAAGGCCTTCAATTTAATTTCCAAAGCAGATAATCATACAGATATTCCTACGGTGAACAGATAGAAATTCAAAACCACATATTTTCACATAATAGCACACAAAATCATATTAAACACATAATCGTACTCATATTAAGGACCAATTAACATATTACGGAACAGGAATATCACAGCTAAAATCATTAATTGACATAGTTGTTAAAATACTTGCTTTAATTATTTTTATTTCAATAACTATATTTATCTATTGTGCTAGTCATAATTTTTATTAGGATATTATTATTTTTATTTGTAAAAACCTAATTCACCTCCCTTTTAGGTTGTCTTTTGGGTAACAGAAAGTTTTATAGAACGGTTATTAGACCAGTGATATTGTATGAGGCGAAATGTTGGATAACTAAGAAACAACATGTAGATAAAATGAGTGTTGCTGAGATGAATATGCTTAGCTGGATATGTGACAAGACTAGAAAAACAGAATTAGGAATGAATATATTCGTGAATGGGTATGAGTAGTATCGATAGAAGATAAGTTGAGAGAGAATAGATTGAGATGGTTTGGGTATATACAACGGAAATCAACTGAGGCAATAGTGAAACGATGCAATATAGTAACGGTAGAAGGAAGTGATAGGGGAATGGACAAACCTAAATTGACGTTAGTGTAATAAATAGAGATATGAATCTCTTTAATTTAACTAATCAAATGGCCGTGGATAGAGTTGAGTTGAGAAGAATGATTCATATAGCCGATCTCACTTAATGAGACTTAAGATTTGATTTGGTTTTTTTTTTTTTTTTTTTTTGAGAATAAGCAATTACACAGAAGAAGACGCCTCAGACATCACCAACGCCATTAAAGAGGACGGAACCTCCTCCATCCAAATACGTGGCGACTCAAAATCAAAGGCTAGCCTACTTAAACAATGAGCCACCGAATTGCCATCTCGACAAACATGCGAAACTTCTGAGGAAAGGAACCTCAACAGGAGCGCTTGAGCCACACCTACAAAATGACCATAGCAAGATAAGTTATCCGCCTTACCTTGAATTGCAGCCACCACATTTTGAGAATCACCTTCCAGATGAATATGTCCCAATCCCAAATCACAATCCAATTGAAGAGCTTTTATCGCACCCATAGCTTCCACACAATCAACATCCTCCATATACTGGATCCGCTCAACCATAGACGCAATGACTTCCCCATGACAGTCCCGAATAATAATGCCAACACCAGCACTGGCATGGGCTGTCCTAACAGAGCCATCAAAATTCAGTTTGAAGACACCCTCACGTGGCGCAACCCACCTTCGCATCCGAACTTGGGCTGGAGGAAGATGGCCACGTTCTTGTGCTTGAACATATTCAGAAACATAATTCACCGCGAAAGAAACAACTTCCTCCACAGTCCTTGATTTATTGCCAAACAGAATGGAGTTTCTATTATTCCAAAGGCACCAACAAATAGCAATAAATAATTGCATGGGTTCTGGACCATTTGTGGCCATGAGTTGGCAGACCCACTCAAAACAATTGTTAACAGGATTAGATTTGATAATCAAATTAAGTGAGCTCGATCTCCACACTTGCATGGCAAAGCCACAGTTGTGAAAACAATGGCAAACCGTTTCAATCTCCACTCCACAATTGTTTCCAGCTAGTCCAATGAATTTTACGGGTTTCCTCTTTTTGTCTCCACCAAAAATTGCACACCATAGACTCAATTTCATGGCACACTCCATCTGGGAGGCGAAAGCAGGACATAATATAAGTGGGTATGGCTTGAGCAACAGACTTAATGAGGACCTCTCTACCCGCCACCGATAAAAAATTTTCCTTCTAACCATTTAAACGAGACCATACGCGCTCCTTGACAAACCCCAAAACGGCGCGCTTAGAATGCCCCACACAATTCATAAGTAGTTGCACAAATCGTTGCGGAAATCCTAGCAGGAGCATCATCTGATTAATAAATGGCCATTCCACTCGGTCATAGGCTTTACTCATGTCAAGTTTTAACGCCATGCAACCATCCTTTCCGGCCCTCTTATTCTTAAGAAAATGGAACACTTCAAATGCCACCAACGCATTATCAGTAATGAGACGGCCCGGAATAAACGCACTTTGAGTGTCGGAAATGACAGAAGGCAGCACCTCTTTAAAAAATAAATGTGACAAGCGTGGACTACCCCGGCAAATTGAAATTCCGGACAACCGGTTAGCTGCCATGGCATGGTCGAGAAGTGCCGACATTCCTTCCACACAAATAGTAAACAAATAAGGCGAAAACGGATCCCCTTGGCAGAGGCCCCTTGTTGGGTAAAACATGCTAGAAGGCTTTTATTAACAAGCATGGAAAACGATACAGTGGACACACAATTCATAAGTAGTTGCACAAATCGTTGTGGAAATCCTAGCAGGAGCATCATCTGATTAATAAATGGCCATTCCACTCGGTCATAGGCTTTACTCATGTCAAGTTTTAACGCCATGCAACCATCCTTTCCGGCCCTCTTATTCTTAAGAAAATGGAACACTTCAAAAGCCACCAACGCATTATCAGTAATGAGACGGCCCGGAATAAACGCACTTTGAGTGTCGGAAATGACAGAAGGCAGCACCTCTTTAAGACGATTGGCCAACATTTTTGCAATTATTTTATAAACAACATTACACCAGCTAATTGGCCGAAACTCTGACATGAGCTTGGGATTCTTAATTTTAGGAATCAATACAATGAAAGTATGATTAATATGTGAAATTTCATCAACCCCATTCAACACCCCAAGCACCGCAGAAGTTACACTAGGACCCACCACGGGCCAAAATTTTTGAAAGAATAAAGCAGGCTTACCATCGGGCCCGAGAGCCTTTGTTGGGTGCATTTGGAACAGCGCATGGTGGAGCTCGACTTCAAAAAATGGTCTACTCAAATGAGATGCACTGTGATCGGGAACTCTCGCCTGAATCAACTACAATACTGGCCCCATGTTCAGTCCCTCACCCGCCGAAAATAATTCCTGAAAATAATTCACAAAATTGTCCTCCACCACTCTTTGATCCTCCTGCCAAATGCCATTAGGATCAACAATGCCAGCAATCTTCTTCTTCTTATGACATTGGGTGGCCTTGGAATGAAAAAACGAAGTATTACGGTCCGTATCCTTAAGCCAATTAGCCCTAGCACGTTGACCCCAAAAAATAGATTCCCGTTCCAAAATCTCATCAATATCACTACGTAGCTTATCCATGTCTGCAACATCGTTCAGAGAATTGGAACTGTGCGTAAGTAACCGCTGTAATTGCTCGGTTTTCTCCTTCAACTGTCGCTTGACACACCCAAAAACATTACGATCCCACCGACGCAGCGAAGAACTTACACTTGTAATATTAGAGACCAAATTTCGAACATCCGCATTAGAAGAAGACAGCCAATTATCAGCAACTATTTGCTCACAACTTGCATGCCGTAACCACATAGCTTCGAACCGATACATGCGATGGCCACTAGCAGGAGATTGACGTTGATCTTTAGCCCCACAAATGTCAACACAAATCGGTAGGTGATCCGAGGATGTACACGCTATAGGATAAACCTTTGCATGTGGAAACAAGAGTTGCCAAGCATCATTAGCAAACCCACGGTCCAATCTCTCCCGAACCAAAGCGTTACCACCACGGTTATTGGACCAAGTGAACATTGGCCCAACAAAACCCAGATCAGCCAGGTGTGCATCTGTGATCACATTCCGAAAATGTTCCATTTGGGATGGAGTACGCCCCATGACACCACACTTTTCGACCTGCTGGCCATAACAAAGCAAGTCCGCCCGCAAGTCCAACTCGGTTAACATAAAAACCACCACAAAAGCCCAGTTTTTGCCGAATCCCGTCCATACGCTTCGAATCGAGCTTGGTCTCCATGAGAAAAACCAGCCCAGGAACTTCCATCTTCAGTAGAAACTGAAGAGATCAAACTGACCGTGGGTTCCCAAGCCCGCGGCAGTTCCAACATACCACATTCATTGGGATCGGCGGGGCTGAAATTCAGCCTCCACCGTTGGAATATTGTTATGTGGGTTGATGGCATCACCCCCATGCACACACAATCGTTTCCCAGCCTTCACAGCCAAGGTTTCAGCATTCAGATTCCCATCATGTACTGCTACCTCCTCAAGCACTCTCTTGGACCCCGTAACAGGGTTGTGAGCCGTAGTGGAATCCATATGCTGACGGGCCACCCTTTTCCATTTCTTTTTGGGCAACACTGATTCACTCCATGGGCTATCCTCAACCTCCATCAGAAGATTAGGATCCAGGGAAGGCAACTGGGCCGCCAAACCTGACTCAGTTACCGGGGGCGTGGCCCCATCTAGGCCCAAACTGGACTGCTGAGATTGAGGCCCCAGCCCTTCTTCTGCATTAACCTCTCGCCCATTCAAAGATTCAAAATTGGTAGACGTGGGTAAAGATATGGTACTGCCCGAGATTGTAGCCACATGTATGGCGTTTCCTTTACCAACGCCATCAATCACAGGACTCAGAGATTCTCCACTGAGTAGTTTCCTATCCTGACGTCGGTCGTCTCCCACAGCCACCGGAGCACAAGTTGGCGAAACACTCTGTGGTGCCCCACCTCCTGATTCACCTGTTCAGAATTCATCCGCATCGGTGTCCCCTGCCCACCAGGAGGCCTCCTCCCTACTCCTCGGTCAATCGAACCAGTGCGACGAGGCCCGTTGCTTTTGAAAGTATCCATCCTCAACCATGCCTCATATTGCAAAACATCAACCCGAGTGCCATCGGCAGAAGAGAGTTTAGCATCACACTCCCGGTCGCTGTGGCCGAGCCTTCCGCAAAAATAGCAATAGATCGGGAGGCGCTCATATTTGAAATCCACCCAGATAGGGTTGGCAGAGGACAAAGCCAATTTCATCCCCCGTCTTAGGGGCTTTCGAACATCAAGGGCCAGTCGAATTCGCATTGTTCGGCCCCATGCAATGCCACCATCTTCATAATCCATATCGAGGAATTGGCCAACAGAGTTGCCAACTATTTGCCCAACCTCTTTATTCATCAGAATTAGAGGAAGATTGCAAACATGCACCCAGAATTGCACCCATGTCAATTGAATGTCAGATGGTTAAATATTTGGATCCATCTCGCCCAACATTAGAAGGTGCTTATCAAATGTCCAAGGGTCGTTCAGTAATACTCTCCGTTTATCCACAACATGACCAAACACGAACACAAACAGGTTGTCACCAATGACGCGTACTTGCATTCCTTTAGTGGGTTGCCACACCGATAGCAGAGTACTCTTCATGGCTTCAACATTAAACGGCCTACGAGTGAGCAACTTGCCAACAAGGCACATATCCGACTTGCCCATCATCAAGCTTGTAGAGTCCCCCCCAATCCTCACAACTGCGTCCTCCTCCGAAGTGAGAGATAGCGTACGAGTAAGGTCGATAAGGGAATCAGCCATCGTTACACGACCACCTCCGCCAACCTTCTAACACAAGAAAAAACTTGCACAATGCAAGAAAAACCTCCACTATAGAGAGAGAGAGGACAAAACCTCCACTAGAGAGAGGACCTCCGATTTGATTTGGTTTATTGTATTTAAATATAAAGTTAAAAAAAGGTGATTACTACAATGACATGATTTATCTAATCATTTTCTTGTCTAGTAATCCAACATAGCTTAAGATAAGATTTTAACCTCTAGAATAAGGCCAAATGTACGAGACACACCCTTCGTTACTTTGGATGAAATTATTATTAATAGTTAAAACATGGAAATTTTTATTATTATTAAAATACATGGAAAATTTAATAGTTTCATTATACTTATTTATAATTGTTGGCTTTTTTTGGCTTTCGAAGGTTAGTATTGTAATTTTAAGCGTGCTAGCAAGGATCAATCAGTCCTTACAGAAGATTAATTGCCAACCAATTATCAGACGATTGTGCTTTAGTTCTTTCAGCCTCAATAAAGAGGACTTTTACTGGTGGCTTGTTTAGGAGAATTTAGTAAATAACAACTAAGTGAAAAATAATTTCAGAATTTCATTAAATAAAATGAAAAACTTACAATGATCTGACCCAACCTCGTAGAGGTTTACAGCAACAAGCTATTTGAAACTACTCCTATGAATGAAGTGCAGTACGGGAATTTGAAGTACAGAAATGTAAAGAACTGTAAAAACTGGAAGGAAAAACAAAGTAAATAAAATTGGTTTTTTGATCTGAGTCTAGATCCTTCACTTTGGGGCCTTCTCTGCTATTTATATTTCTCAATGATAACTGTCGAAATGGGCTTCTAACCGTCGAAATATCCTCCCATGATTGCTGAACATGTTCTCTCACAGTCAGTCCCACTACGCCACCTTTGCAGTTAGGCCTCCCTCCTGATTTTGAATTTGAACTTTGTGAGTAACCATTAGGCACATCACCTTATATCCCTTGATCGTTCCAGTGCTACGCAGACCCATTATTATCAATACGGGCTGACACATGTCCGACTATGATTGGTAACTGGTATTAATTCCCCAAATTGCCCTCTTCATGCCACGTGTTGAATTGTGATTGGCTTTTACAAATTATACAGCCAATATTATCCCTCGCACTAATATACCCAATACTTGGTGATATTAGTAGATCAAGGAACTTTACCCACGTCCTAGGACGTGCATGGGCTTTGCATTTTCTTAGAACTGTAACCGATGTCCATCATTGTAATGTTTGTACTGCATTAAATTCTCTTCTACACCTTGAACATGTCCCACTTTCTAAGCATTCGAAAAGACTGATACAATCCTTATGGCCAAGCAAATCTTTTCTTACATTGATCGAGCATACGAGGAGTCTATGGAAAATGATTATAGGCCTCAAAAGAATCTTAATGCATTTATTGATTACACATATCCGCCTCAATTTATGCAAGTTATAGAAGCTTTCACAACGTTCCAACCTCTAGACCCGAAGTTTGCCAATTACGAACCCTTAGATCAAGCATTTGCAAAAGTGGATCTTGTAAAATCTTCGTCTGTCCCATCATTTTTTGCATGGGACATAGCTACTTCTTCCTCTACCCCACCAACCTCTGCATGCAACACAACTGCTTCTTCTTCCTCCAGGTCTACTGGTTAGGGAAGCTAGCCAGAACCTGATGAATCCAAGTTAAGAGAGCGAATTAACCATCGATTCGTCGAATTCATTGATCCTCTGTCTTTTCCTCTTTTTGCTCGGAGCTGGATGGTTTACCCCTATGTACCCATCGATCGCCGACGCAGTTTGGAAGACAACTTACTTATAGCATGGTACACATCTTCCATGCCTACGAAGATAGTGCGAGCAACTCCTCGTCTAGAGGAAGCACAAGGATACAACCCATCATTCTTAGCCAAGAAGGCAAAACTTTGCTCTTCTGACTGGCTTGAATGTGTGAATAACCCCCAGTTCCCTTTTTCCTTTAGGATGGACCCTCCTGCGCCTCCTCTTCCTTAAAACCCTCACTGGACGGAAGAACTAAGACTTACTCTCTTTGAGAATCAGTTTCTTCCTTCCTACCAACCTCCAGATCTTCCCACTATATTTGAGCAATATCAAGCTCAACTTCTGCTTGTAGCCTTTTCTCACT